ATGTCTGTCAATGGTGTCCTTCACAAGTGAGAAATGTGAAAGAAATTCCCAGAAAAATAAAAGCCCATCCGATCTCCACCTGTTCTGCAAGAAATGCTTGACCAAGTCCCACAAGTTAAAATGAAAGGATACTAGTTAACCACATGAGAATATATGAAAGACCCCATTCAGTGGTAAAATTAGTATAAAGTCAGATTCAGAATACTGTCATGGCGTTGTGTCAATCATTTGCATCTCTAGGATAAAGACTTATAACTATAACCACAATGACTGATTAAACAATGTACAACATAAAAATTTAAAATAGGACATCAAAAACAAGGGAAGAGAAAGTGAAACGCAGAGTTTTGGTCATCAAAGTTAAGATGTCATCAGCTGAAAGTAACCTATTTTATTATAAAATATTCTGTGGGGCCTCACGACACGAGGTGTATGCCATCGATTCTTGTAAGCTAACTTCAATGCATACACTGTTTGTACCCTATCCCAGTGGGCACATCATAGTTGAGAAATGGGAAATTCTAGACAGAAGCTCTCCTGAGGACTGAGAAGTTAATTTATGGTAGTTTTGGTACACTGGGCTCATTCTTGAAAATTTAAAAAGACTAAAAAGAAGAGGCAAATTTATCTGTTAGATTTCATGGCATTCTATTCAAAACCTTCGAGAACCCAAATAGTTTCTGATTCCAAAGTTCTGGTGTTGAAAGCAGTGAATTTATCCAAGTGAATATTAAGAAACTAAGGCTATATATTTGACATTTTTTGTTGCTAGATGATTCCTGAATTAACTCTCTTATGGCACTAGTATTTATTAGTAGGGAAGAGTACTTAATCAAAATGGGGAATAAATTATTCCTAGAAAATCATCTCTAAAGAGCTGTGATTTATGGTGCACGTCCAGAATTCCTAGGAGAGCTGACACTGGGAAGGAAGCCACGGCACCGTTGACCTCTGCGTTCTGGCACAGCGCATTGGCTGCAGGGAATTGCCATCTGCAGCAACTTTGTCTGTTTCATATGTACTGCCTGGAGCCAGGTACAGCCAGGAGGCAGGACAGGCCCGAGGAGCATGGTTTCCCTGACTTGGTATCCAGGTAGGGGAGTTACTTCTCCAAGCTGCATGACACTCATCCAAGCCCCATCTCCTACCTACAACAGAATCCCAAACCACAGCTTCTTCAGTTGGGTCCAAGTAATTCCAGAATGACAGCTGCTGCCCTCTCCCTAGAAAGTCCTATTACACAAGCAGTCAGTCTTTCCACACTGTCTGCAGGAATCTATGTCACCATCAATGTGAACAAAAAACAGCGATATTAAAACAGGGAATCAAACTCTCCCTTAATAGAGAAACCATAAAAACCTAAAAATCAGACTGTGCTATTACCTAATATAGGGTAGATCCCCCAGTGAAATCTCAACAGTCATAGCAAGGAATGGGGTTTCATATTGGCTTCTTGGTGGAGGAAAGGGGGGAAGGAGGATCAGGGAGCCTAAAAAGCTGCAGTGGTCAAACATCAACATGGGGTCTTCATGTGTAGGTATCACTGTAGATACAGACAGTTTTGCTTCAGCTGGGTAGAAGGATGTGAGCAGCCATTTGTGCTAGGTGGTAAGTCATGCAAATGTATTATACCATTCTATTTTGATATGTTTGAAAATATTCTGTGTTTTTTAAAGCTCATTCCATTCTTGCAGCAAAGATGTTAATCTCTCATCCAATTTATGCTTCTAACTATGCCAAAGTGGGTCTAGTTCAGGCTCAGAACACTATGGGGATCCAGGGGTGTGATCCAAGGATCCATTTCCACTGCATTTTCACACATTTCTGAATGTCTCCTCTCTCTGTGTTGCTCTGGCTGCTGCAGGGCTGTATCAAAAGCTGGGAGGGGAAGGCAAAGGCAGAGGAAAATGTAAGAGAGCCCTGCTAGTCTCCTAAGTGGGGAGGCATCCAAATGCTGGGATCTGCTGCTTTTCCTTGCATAGACTCGCAAATTTTCTAAATCCTTTGACTGTGTGCCTCTCTCAGCTCTAATTCACAGTGAGGTAAAGCAGGCTCTGGTTGGTCATTCTGAAAACTTCAACCTCATCTGCCTCTCCTCTAGTTGGGCATCTCTAGCCTTTCTGCAAGCAATGCCTCACCCTCGAGGGAGGCCCTCTACAGTGGAGTCTCCTCATCAACACAACCAAGGCCAAATACTGGTTATGCATTTCTCAGCTGGCGGGAGACTGCAGGTAGGTGTGGTCCCTACCTCGAGGGGTCTACAGCATGCCTGTGCCTTCTCTACTCAGATGTGCCGAGGGGCATACCAGACCTTTTGGCTCCACATTTCAGCTGATTGTGACAGTATTTGGGAGAACTTGGAGGCCACGAGGCTTTCAGATTTCTGCAACTTGCAAAGATCCTTGGGGGAATGGACAGTCAGTCTGGTCTTTCCTCAGGGCCTGCTCATTCCATGAATGGCTTTCTGTAAATTCTTTACCTACTGTATGGGAGAAAACTGATCTCATAAGGATGGCATTTTGCACACAGCCAGGTCTCTCAGGGAAACTCTTCTCTCCCAAACTTCCCACGGTCAGTTTCTTCTTGTAAATAAACTAGATGCAGTTAAATATGACCAAACAGGTCTTTGGTTTACCCCTCAGTGAATGCTGCCCAGTTGTTCTGGATTGCTATTCGAATTCATCATATATTTTTTTTTTTTTTTTGGTCTTTTTCATTTTTATCGGTACCAGGGATCGAACTCACGACTGCGTGCTTGCAAGGCGCTTATGCCGCTGAGCTAAATCCCCAGCCCCGAACTCATCAATATTTAACACCTTTCTGTATCAGCTTGGGAGTTTCTGCCAACTTTCTAAAACAACAGAGGATTCATACTTAGATCTTCTTGTATTTGCAATCATTTAAAGGCAATGTTACCTCTGACATTTCAAGAAAAATGCAGAAATGTTACAAAGTGGTGTTTTCAGTTGTTTTGTGAAATCTCTTAGGAATCACTAAAAAATCACATTTTAGGTGGTAGACACACATCACTGAGGAAGAGGCTAAAGGGAGTTTATAGAAAAAGGGTTCCAATTTGTGTGTGCACATTACTAACCTCAAGTGGCCTGTTAATTTGTTTATTCCACTATCTGAATGCAAGTGTTATTTTATAATTAGTATATGTTTATAATACATAATAATTATATTTATCTGGAAGGATTGGTGCATACACACATCGCAGTCATTGTTTTTACTTCTCCTTCCTTGCCTGCCACCTCCCCGTTCCCAGATGGCCTTTCAGTCTCCACAAAGTCTACCTCACTGCTTCTTATTCTCAAGTGATCTTAAAGACTGAGTCAGAGAAATCAATGCGAGTGGGAGGGAAAGGTTATCTGTTACCACACTACACCTATAACCACCTTTGAAAAAACCCTTCATTGTGCTAAATCATAATACAGAATGTGATTTTTTCAACACTGATCACAGAAAATGAAATTAAAAATGAAAGGATTGAGGGAGAAGAGGCCAGTAACAAGCAGTTAGCAACCTTCTTGTTCAAAAGGAAAAGGTCCAGGTACTTTGGATAGCAAGTGATGAAACCAAAAAATATACCAATTTGGCATCATTCTTGGCTCTAGAAAGAGGTTTACCCCAATTCCTATGTAGCTCCTGGTTTCATTCAGAGGAAGATCCTTTTAATCAAATGGCCCTTAAGAAATTTCATGGTATGTGTAGGTCTATTTAAACTTCCTTCTGAAGTCCGGCCTGTCAGCCACAGATTTTAAAGCACTTCATTGCAGGGTGGGCCTGGGGGTCTTCTCTGCAGAGCCATCTGGATGGAACTGTTCGCTTTGACCCCGGGGATCAGAGGATGAGGCGAACCATCTGGTTTCCCTGCACCCTCCCAGTGACGTGTCAGAAGATACTTGGCACAGCTCACAAACTGACATTCAAGGGAAAATAAAGTGAGGAGGGAGGGCATCCCAGAGCCCCACCCTTTGCCTTCCCAATCCACCAGCTAGCTGCTCCGGAGACCTGGCCAAGGGGTGGCCCCATAGCATGAACATCCTCACTCACTCACCACTAAGGTTACCCATCTAAAAGTCATTTCAACAGGTTAAGCTTTTGATTTCCACTGAAAGGGCTGCAGAGAGAGAGACTGGTCTGCTCAGACTGTGGCAGGACCTGGTAGGAATCCAGATCCAGGATCCACCAGCAGCTCCCAGGGAGTTCCACCTGCCCCGCCCCCAGCTACCTCCTCTTCCATCCTTCTTGCCATGCAAAGATGCAAAGATGGGCAGGACCTATGCCAGCCCGCAGAGGTGAGCAGGCTGCCTGAGTCACTGTTCCTTCCTCTGTCTTAGATCTTTTGAATGTCAGCAAAGCCAGGAACAACAAACAGTCTCTTTCAGAACAAAGTTCTCTCCTGTGCTGTTTTTTGGTCTTTCACACTTTGTATCTGTCACTGAATAATTCTTTCTGCTTGTGTCAAGAAAAAATAGGAGAGCAGAGCATGTGGAGATGTGACTTTTGGCATTTTGACCTCTCCAGAATGGACCCAAACTGAAATCTCTCCAGTTGAGGAGTGAACTCCATAGGCAGAGGAAGGAGGAGACAGGATGCTTCCGTGGCTCTTACTGTATTGATATAGGGGAATCTGTGTAAGAAATGTGCAAATAACATGAGTAATATGCATGAAGTTTGGACCATTTATTTACCCCAAGCATGCACTGAAACTAGAGTCTTGAAACGTACTAGAGGGAGTTGTTCTGGGTTTTGTCCCTGGGTTCTGGTTCTGACTCTACCACCAACCAGGAGCTCAAATGTCATTTGACCTTTCTAGACCTAGTTAATTCTACTATAAAATGAATAGCTCCTTCCAGCTTTACCATTTGAGAATTCAGACACATTTAGGAAGTTAAGCTTGATTTTTGGCACTGCTATTTAGGATGGCTGATTTTGGCCTAAACATGTGCAATGCTAAATATAATGCATTAACTGTATTTCTGTTTCAGTTTATGGCTCTTTTCACTAAGCCAAGATAAAGTTGTTTGATTCAAATCTACACAGCCTGGGTGTGCTAAGTAAGTACGCTCAGATTGGACCATCTCAGATCACTGCGTTTCTGGGACAGTCCTTGGAAAAGCAAGAAGAATCTGAATGAGAGCTGGAGTCTCCATAGGTAGATAACTGGAAAGTATTTGTTAATTCAGCGACAGGACTATTTGAGCTGGAGTATCTGTATTTACACAGATCTCATCAACTGAAGAACCTTCACGAGCAAATTGCATAAACACTATAGGATGAAAATCAGCAATTGTTGGAACAGTGGCTGCCAAGCAACTATCAGAAGACCTCCGATGGCATGGGGAACTGGATGCTACCAAGAAGCCTAATTAAATTGACTGTGGAAAGTGGCTTGTACAAGGAGTTAAGACTGCCAGAACCACACTAGTAGCCAGGTCTTCCTGGTAGACAGGAAGACCCAGGGCAGCTCCTCTGAAGAGGAGGACAGGGTGGCAAATCCTGTGACCCTGCCCTTAGGGTTGACTGCTCGGCTGCTGCTGAGTGAACACAGCTCAGGCCTGCAGGAGCTGAAGGGTATGAAGTCACCAACAAAGCTTGCTGCTGTGCTTAATCATTGCTGGGGCTTCTCCAGGTCATAGAGAATCAAGACACGGCTTAGTGAGTGGCAGTGAATTTACAGAACTAGGGAAGCCACCAAGAAATACAAAGCACAGACTGTGTCCTTCCAAAGCTGTTATTTAACAAGGAGTTTCATGGAAAAAATACTTCTCTGTCCTCTCTGGAACCCTGAAAACCTGGAGAGGTAGACAGTTGAAAAGTAAAGAGACCCCAAAGAATTCAAGTCTGTCCAGATTAAGTAAAGAAAAACAAAGTTGTGGGGGTTTTTTGAATGTTATTTGATGAAGAGGGAAAAAGAGCTTCTGCATGGTTCTTTTTCATTTTCGAAGAATTTCCACAATTATCACTTCTTTATATACATGGGAAAGATGTCCAGTGGAAAGATGGCCTATGTGGATGTGATGAAAACACCAGCAGACCAGGCAGATCTTCTCTCTCCTGGTAATGTTTTTTGTCTTTTCTAAGCTATCAGAGGAACAGTGATTTTTAGACAGTGCCCCAGCAGTGCTTAAATTTGACCAGCTCCTTAAGTCTTTTGAACAAAACCACTTGCAGTCTGGGACTGTAGCTCAGTGGGAGAGCACTTGCCTAACATCTGGAGGATCACAGGCTTGAAATCCAGCACTACTAAAACAAGGCCCACAAATACCAAAAACCTCTTTTTGCGCTAAAAATACTATCTACGTTAGCATGACGATATTGATCATAAAGAATATAGTGTAATTGATGAAGCACTTACTATGTGTTTGAAATCATACTAAACACATCTGCATATATTGCTCAGTGGAATTCTCACAATACTTTCTTGTAGGAAATAATAGTTACCTCAATGTGGAGATGAAGGAGCTGAATAAAATTAGCAATAAAAGGCCACAAAGCTAGTGATTGTTGGAGCTGGGATTCTAACCTCAATGTATCTAGTCTGCGTTATTGTGCTGCTGTCCTCTTTCTCTCTCTACTCTCTCTTTCTCTCTCTCTCTCTGTCTCACACACACACACACACACACACACACACACACACACACACTCGTGCACCAACCACTGAGTTTTGGTTGAATCTCACCCAGCCTGGAACCCACTTTGTCTTCTTGTGAAGGCTAGTTGGACCATCACAAGCAGTCTGTGGATGCTGGAGAGTGTCTCATGAAAGCTCACATGCCCACCACAAGGTATCTGGACAGGCTGGCTGACAGCGTGATGTATATCAGATCTACCTACATGTAGTGGCTCCGCAACTTGTGACATCTGTCTAAGTCATTTATTTAACTTTTCAGGGTTTAATTTCTTGTCAGTGAGTATAGGAAACACTGCCTACCTTATAGAATAGAAGAAACATGAAAATTAGATAAAACAACTGTGTAAGCTGCTAGCAACTTAAAAGCCAGAAATATGATTATGTTGTTTGTGTTCACTGAGGTTTTCTGCAAATGTTGTGGCTTTGTTTCATTTTGTTTGTATTCTCTCTGCTTTCACAGAGGAAGGCCAACTTCCTTCAGGCAGCAGGCACTGAGCAGGACACTGGCCACCAATAAATACAGTCTTTGGTCTCCATGAAATTCTTTGACTGGTGGAAGGAGAGGCAGCACCTCAACACTGTTACAACGGATGTGATGACACAAGCCTTAGTATCCGGTTGGAGAACAGTGGAGAAGCTCATGCCGCTCCTCAAGCAAAGTTCACGGTGTGCAGAAGACGAGTCGATGGCACAGCCTGGAGCAAAGATGGAAAGTGAAGCCCCTGCACCTCTGCAGCTCTGTGACAACATAAGGCCAAAACAGTACTCCGAGGCTGACTCGGCACCGCACTACCTGGACTGCCTGTGAGAGCATCCTCTGACCTCTGTGTCCTCTAGGACAGCAGCTCCCACAGGGGCTGTGCCTTCAGGCTGAATGTGCTCCTGAAAAGGCTGCTTCCTGCCTCGCTGAGATTTTCTATCTGAAGGAGCTCTGTAGGAGAAGATGGGCCGACCTCCTTCTGGTACCCATCACTTGCTCTCTGCCTTGGTCACTGAAATCTATCTTTCCCAGGCCATTATTCTTTCAGTCCCACAGCCAACCAAGAAACCAGACAGCCCCTTCACTCCTGCAGCTGTTTCCTTGGCAACAGGGCCTGGTGGATTGTTCCCCAGTCCACCTTGTGACCATTCGGGCCCAGCAGCAGTCTCGGGCGTGCCCAGAGGCTAGCCTGGACAGCACTGTTCTGTATTTCCAGAGCACGTTTCATCCAGGCACCTTGAAGCAGGAATGCTTTCTCTACATGGATCTTGCCTTTTGAGATGAATGCTATCATTCCTCACATTGTTCACAGGGAGGAAGGAATCAGGCCAAGATCAAAGGACCCTCTCCCGGGTTCTTTGGACCTCCTTGCCCATTTATTTACAGTCCCCCTCTTTTTTATTCAGCTAATGTCCTTGGAAGTCACTGGCAGTTACTCTTTCTGGTTGCCTTTGACACTTCCACACTACAAGGCCCGAGTCAAGATCACAATTATGGATGGTTCCCTGCTGTGGTTCCAATCACCTTCTGGAGCCAAGTCAGGAGCTGTCACTATGCCGCCTAATCAGGCTTGCTGGGAGTCTCAGCCAGGAAGTGCTGAGTGCCTTCTTCTTTCTGGTGCCCACTCCTGCTCAAACCCGGGGTGCTTCTAGGCAGCGCTAAAGAGAAGTTCTGAGGATTTTCATTTTAGCAAATAAACTTAAACCGAGGGTCACGTACAGCAGAGTGTTCTGGTGTTAGTGTCCATATACATCACCTGGAGGTTGTGCTACACAGAGGGTCTGGAGGCCTTCGGTCTTGGGGGTACAGAGGGCAGATCCCAAGTGCTGTGTGTATAGGAGGCTCCCAAGAGCTGCTGTTCTTGGCAGCCTTGAGGATGGAACTTTGAGGACAACAAGCTCAGGCTCCAGTCTACACTCCTGTGTCTACACATCCTGCCAAGGTGGAGAAAGAAGGGTTTTCTACATTTTAAACCACTTTTGAACACATTTCTTTTAGGCAAGGTGGGGGGGGAGCAGCATGATCACACCTATAATTCTGTCTAGTGACACACAGCTAGGGAGGGTGCACAAAAGACTAATCCAAAGAGAATGTTCCTGTCATTATATTAAAACTGGTATACAAATTAGAACATTGTCATAACTGGTATTAATAACACACACTGGAAATTATTTCACTAAAGAACTTGTGTGGACATCTCTGGGACAAAATTGTTGTTGTTGTTGTTGTTGTTTAATTTTACCAATAACCCATCTCTGGAAATTTCCACATTCACAGTCAAGTGAACTTTGCTGTTACGGCCTGACATTTACTGGCTTCCGTACAGGTTGAGTTACATTCAATAATGGAATGATGTCCCACCACTTAAGATAAACATCTCCCTGGAAAGTCCGAATGTGATCTATCTTAGAAGAAGAGTCTTTGTCGGCAGACATACTTAAGGTGAGGATTGCAAGATAAGGGCATCGCGATTGGGGGCAGGCGATAAATCCAGTGACAAATATCCCAGTAAAAGACAGAAGAGAAGACCCAGGGGCCCGGGGCAGATAGACCCATAAAGGTGGTGGCAGAGGTTGGAGTCACTGGCAGCAAGCCGAAGATGCTCAGGAGGCTGTGAGATCTGGACAAGGGAAAGGAGGAAATACTAGGAAATCTTGGTGTCAGATTTTTGGCCTCCAGAACTGAAAAACAGTGCTTTTGCTGTTGGGAATGACTGATCATTTTTTGTGGTGATTTGTTGTGAGAGCCATAGGGGCCTAGGACACAGCCCAGTGAAGGCCTTGGCTGTCACCCAGGTCCCCTCTGCCTCTCCTCTGACCTAGGGCTCCAGCTTGGTGGCCCTGGGGTGACGGGTTGGGGTGGTGAAGGCGGCCCTGAGGATCAGGCAGTGTATGTACCATTAGACAGCAGAGATAATAGAGATTCTGCAGCCGGACATGCTGGGAACCGAAAATGAACTTTCTGTTATCCTCAGAGAGAAAAATAAAAATTCAGACTTTGCTTTAAACAACGATATCCTGAGCAGTTCTCAATGGAGATAAAGATGAAAAGGCTGGGCCTCTTCGTAGTTATGAAATATTTAAACGCAATGGCTGTTTTCATAACACGAGGCGAGCTGTTGGCCCAGCAGTGCGCCCCGGGCTCTGCGGTTTGTGCTGCTTGCTCACCTCCTCTGAGGCTGGCATCTGCCCGCGGGTGACTGCTGCCATCTCGTGGCCAAGCGACGCCACCGCACCCGTTCTGTGTGTAAGATTCCAGTTTGCACCGACAGAGGGCCGGCATTGGGAAGGAAACCTTTTCGGGTAACTGAGCTTAGTGTGGCCCATCAAGCTTTCTTCTGCAACTGATACCGAGAAGAATCCTGTAACACCACAGACTTTTAGCTGTTCACAAAGCAGAGGAAGTTAATAGGTATGACACAACTTTCCAAGAAGCCAAAACCTGTGGCTAGACGTACTATTTTGAAGCTCAAACTCATTTTTTAGTCCCTGCTCACGGTGATGTGGCAGTGAGGATGACAGGAGTCAGAGGTGTAGGAGGCTGGCTAACATCCCCGTAGCTTACTGAGCTTCCGGCTGTCTTTAGAATTGGGAGACTACTTAGCCACAGTGTCCTGGACCTTTTATTTTGATTGTTGAACTCTACCAGCTAGGGTGCTGACACCCAAATTCCCTTAGAAACAGGGTTATACTGCTTACGTGGTGACTGTTAGGTTAAAAGAATTATCCTAAAATCTCAGTGTCCATCTAAATTTTTTATGTTTTAATTATCTTTTTAATTAAAAACGAATCCTTTTGTGCTTCTGAGGTTTCCTTTTAAAATTCATGCCCATATTATCTGTGTAAGTAACTAAGGACAAGCCATAAATCTGCACCAACTGGGCCCTAGCTCCTCTTTCCCTAAGGGCAGCCCATTCTTGGTTCTTATCCATCTAAATTTTCACAAAATTGAATTTTTTGGCTGTCCTGCATAGACATCTACCTTCCTCAAACCTCAGTAAAATTACTAAGGACATTAAAGTTCAGAATTGTGAGTTAAACAAAAATGAAGGTTCTGGGACCTGCCTGCTTGATCTCCATTTGACCTCTTCCAGTCATCCTAGAGACAAGTTCAAGGAAGATTCCTTATTCTTCAGGATGGAATTTGAAAAGCCTTTGCCAAGTATTTTCAAACAAATTGAAACATTACAGTAGGAAGATCAGTGTACCATCCTTAAGCAAATGAACCACTGTTCTGCCTGGCTAAGAAAACTTGAGTGGTTTCCTTGGGTGCTGTTCTTAGTAGATCAAAAGCTCCTGGAGATTATGTCCCGTTCTTAGATATTGCTTGCTAGTCCTTGGGCTATTGCTTTCTACTCAAAGCGAATTCTGTCTGACACTAGTTCTAATAAAAGGGAGATGTTTGACCTCCATTTATTCATTCACTTATGGGGGAAAACACTGAGAAGAGACTGCGAGTTGCTCATCAAAACCCATGTTCATGTCTGTGGGCATTCACAGCCTCCGATGTCCACAGGTGAGAGCCTGTGACTGAATTCTGGCTGATGGAACTGTATCACTTCTGATCGGGTTCATCAACATTTCCTGAATGTGCTTTTCTTGGCTACTTTTCTCTCATCTTCAGAACACCTCCAAAACTAAGAAAGGCAAGGTTTATTTAGCTCACAGTTTGTGGAGGTTTCAGTCCATAATTAGCTGGCTCTGCAGCAGGGGCAACAGTTCAAGGAGGCAGAAGATAGCAAAATCAACAGGAACAAAAGTGGGGAGAGCAAGCCTCTTCTCCTCCCTGACACTGTAAGCAGGCTACCTGCCTACACCATCTCCCTGCCCTTGTCTCTCATAGGAGGACAATGTTTACAAAGAGAGGATTCTGAGCCCCTTCTAAACTTCTCAAGTTGACACCGTGTACCAACCATTACAGTGCTCCTCCAAGTTTCTTTCTTTTTCCAGATGGGCACAAGGGAGATAATGTCCAAGGAGCCTAGAGGTTATATATTAGAGATTCCAACGGTCCCACTCACATCGGTTTTCCGAAACGCTATTTCTGGTCACCAATAGTGTTATCAATAAAAGTAAATTTCTATTATAGTTGAGCAATTGTATTTTGTGTCCCATTCTTTACAGTGTTTATCCTCTCCCAACTAATACACAGGGTAAGAAATATTGAACATCAACTATGTGATAAAATAGACCCTTTCATTAAAGTGGTCTTTCAGTGAGAGCTGTAATTAGTTGTAACCCATTCCAGATTTTCAAAGAAGTTAAAGAGAGTACAATTTACTGTGGCCACCTAGCTTTCAGGCCTCTTTGATCTTGACATCTCCTCTGCAGTGGTGTTTTGGCTCTAAGAGAGCCACAATATCTCCTGACTGAAGTTCTCACTGGTTTCCTTTTTTGTGGAATGTTGTACACTTCTCTTTATCATGCATTTTACAATGAAATTGTACTTTTTAAAAGAAAGCCTTCATAGCTTTGCCTCACCTCTTTCTGAACTAAGGCTACACCACAGGTTCCTTTAGAGTAGGGTTTCTTTTCATGTTTACTGTCACTATATGGTTGAGTGGTTAGTAATTTATTGCACTCAAACAATAAAATTTTGTTGAATAAATAGGTATTAATGGAACCCACCATGATCTAAATCGTTATGGACTTTCCTTATTCCATTATCTTTATCATCCCTCTTGATAATAAATCAAAAATAGTTATGTATTGTTTGAACTTAGGGTACTGTCTGAGAGATGCATTGTAAGATGTTTTGTCTTTGTGCAAACAGCAGAGAGTGCAGTTACAGACGCCTAGGTGCTAACTATCTGCTACCTACCAGGTTGTGTGGTATGCACTGTCATCTATGTGGTCCATAGAGGAAAAGAATTCTATTTCAAATCTTGGAAAAAGGTGATGCACAACCAAAATAAGACAATTTGGTGTGTATGGCATCAAAGGCTTTTTCCTATCTGTTTGATTTGAGGAGCACAATTATCAGGAGCTGCCTTGAATACTCTTACTAGATAATTTGCAGTGCTACAGATTAATTAAGAATTGCAGTTTTGGAATAGATAAAATTGTGGAAGGAACATAAAAAGAGGAACAGATCAGAATATTGTGTAAGTAATGTTAAGAACTGTTTAATGTTGTACTTTAGCACTCACAATATTGCACACAATGGTTGCTGATGAAGAGGAACTCATAGATCCTGTAATAATTCTCCAAACCTCAGTGGTTTATGAATTTTTTTTTTTATTTAGAGGTCATCTTGGGCGGCTCTGTTTTAGGTGGAGAGTTGCATGCAAGTCTGTTCCACGTCTTTCATTCAAGAACAAAACTGAAAAAACAGTGTCCCCCTGAAGAAAGTCCTTCTCTTCATTTCGAATGGGTTCTGTTATGTTCCATCTACTGACTACCCTGGACGCACAATACCCAGCTGAGTGCAAGTCAGTGAAGTGAGAATATATCTGCTGCCACCCGTCTACTGAGGTTCAACACAGCAACACAGGCAGCAGGCATGGGAGCAAAGAACTCAGAACAGAATCCTGTCTGCTTCCAAGTCAGAAAAATAGGACAATAAGGACAGCAGGTTTCCACCTGAGAGAGCTTCAGTCGCAAACACAGAGAAGTCAATGACCTCGCTGATGAAAGGCTGTGACCGGTCAGTGGCTGGGCAGTAAATAGCACAGGATTTCAGTAAAGCAGAGGGACACAAACCAGATGGCAATAGGATT